CCCCAAAACCCCAAAACCCCAAAACCCCGTGCGATAAAATTAAATCAAAGATTGTTATAGAATTAATAATCATCATAGATTAAAATATACTTAGAACTTAAAATGAGTGTGGAGTCTCTAAAACAAAACAAATCTGTTCGCTGGGTGGATGAACAGAACTTCAAGTCGGAGGAGTTCGGACCTCCAAACTTTGATGAGTACCCAAGATCATTCAAATGGAGACAGTTTAAAAAGGGATTCTCCTGGGGTAAACTTAAACAATAGTTTTTGATAATTACATTTAGGATTCTTGATGACATCAACTGTAGTGGTGCAATACTAACTTTACATGCACGTAATAAGACCAGCAGAGAAGTCTCTTACTTCTGCGTTCACATAGTCAGGCGTCTATGGTCTAGGCATAGGAATTGCATTTGGATTCTATGAGATTTACAATCACCCTCAAATCATTCACTAGCAGTTTAAGGTAGTTTCTGATGAAGAGTATAGACAAATGCAAGCGAGAAGACAAATCTCTGAGCCTAAAACTCAGCCTGCTCTTAAAGATAATAGCAAAGAGTCAAAGCAATAGTGAATGAGCATAGAATATATAATATCAGAGATTCAGTTGTATATGTTATAATAATCTTTTGATTAAGAAATTAAAAATGAATTGTATTAGAATTTAGAAACAAATATTTAAATACATTAAGCAATTTAAAAGAATGCGCTGTTATTTTATTTTATCAATCGTAATTGGGCAGAAGTTCTGCAAGAGATAACTTAAATTTGACATCATTAAGGACTCTTTTGCCAAGCACTACATTCTTACCCATTAATTACTCTGGATCTGGAGGGTTAGGGATCAAACTAAGTAGGGAATTGAACAGATGATCAAAGACCTGTACTATTGATGCCTCACCGACTGAGCAAGTTTCAAAGTACTCCATTCCATATTTTCTAGCAAGTGCCACTGCTTCTACTTTAGTTACTGGGTTGATTAGGTTTTTCTTAGTCATGCTTAGGTCGATTTTATTGCCTACTAGAATCTTAATGGGAATGTCGCACTTTTCGCAGTCATTGATCCACTACTCAGCCTTCTCAAAAGATGTTCTCTTGGTAGTGTCAAACAAGAACAGTATGGCAGTCGAGCCATTGACGTACTTGTGAATGTATTTGTGATGTCTCTCCTTGCCTGGCATGTCGAAGTACACAATCTTGTATTGGTAAGCATCGTCAATGTAGAATGTAGTCTATATCAATGAGTCAAGCATTGTATATTTATGATAGGAGTTACAAAACTCAAATTCATTTTCAAATTAGTTTAAAGCATGTGCTTACCTTGATGTGAAGTTCAGAGGACTGTTCATTTTCAACTACAGAGCCAAGAGTAGAAGAAATGGCATCGAGGAAGGTTGTCTTTCCTACGCCTGAGTCTCCCACGATAGAGATCTTAAATTTAAAGTGATAGTCGTCCAACTCCTAGTGTTGCTGTCCACCAATTGGGTTCATTTTAGTTCAATTATTATAAAATTATTAAATTTGCTTTAATTCTGCTATTATTATCTTGTGGGGTTTTGGGGTTTTGGGGTTTTGGGG